GTGTTCACGAATGTTGAATTATTTCAGTTTTTACTTAAAGAAAATGTTGAAATAATTTAATAAATTATATTGCATTTTTGAACTCTATTTGTAATTTTCTTTTGGAATGCATGACTTTTCCAAGTGCTCTCTACCAATAGGAGGGTTCAAAATATGGGACTAGTTAAAAAAAAAAAGAGTAAGAATCATGTTAACATGGTAGGTAAAAAAAAAAGAAGTGTTTGGTAATCCCTACGGACAGGTATACTGTGTTACTGTTTTTTGTGTATATTTTTATGTGTTTGGATTTTTTTATGTCTACTAAAAAATGGTAGGTGACAAAATTTGTTACTAACTTACAGAAAACAAAAACCAAAAAAAAAAACGCATTTCTAGTGGAGAAAAGATGTTGCTGTTAGACAGAGGCTGTATTAGTTTTCTTTCAGCATGCTTCTTCTAACACGGGTTCTGTGATGTTACAATGAATCTTAAGGTGTTCTAGCATTTTGTGTTTAAAAGCAAACGAACGCCCGCAGTCCTCAAAGACACAATAGAATCGTTGCTTGTCGTGATAGGAACGAATATGAGCATCAAGGTTTCTCTTCTCAGAGTAACATCGTCTGCAGTCCTCGTACGGACACAAATACATTTCTCGGACATCCGAATGTACTTTCATGTGTCTTTTTAGCCACTGACCCTGTGCAAACGTTCTCTGACATATTGGGCACCTTTGGGGCTCCTTGTGAGCAGCAGTTTTGTGTTTGACCAACTGTGGCCATTTTTCGAATTTCTCTCCGCATTCCGGACAGGTGTATCCTTCGTGGACCTTCATATGTCGCCTCAGTCGATTCATCCACCGGAACGACATACCGCAACCAGGGTGTGGACATCCGAAAGGAGTCTTACTGGAGAGGTCGAATTCAGGGCGGGGTTTTTCCCCTTTAAGTTCGTCATTCTGGAATGTATCCGATTTGATAACATCCGTGTATTCTGCCAATAAGCTCTGGATTTTCTTTTTTTTGTTTTCATGGTACACCTGGATGTGTTTACGGAGATTGGTATTGCTGATGAAGGTCCTCTCGCAACCTTCTACTGTGCAGACGACAGGGGGTAAACCACCACCGGGTGACAAAGGACAATACTTCGTGTGTCGGTTTAGGTGATCTTTCCTTTTATAAGTTTTGTTGCATCCTTCATTCGCACAGACAAATGGCCTATCGCTTGTATGGATGCACATATGTTGTTCCAGGTAGGCCCTCTTCGAAAAGCGACTGTTACAGCCGTCTTCGGAACATATATACACTTGGCCCATCTTGTTATTTTCCTCGATTGTCGAGGTGGGAGGAATGACGTAACCTTCTTGTTTTACAGCCTGATAAAGACTAAGTAATGGTTCGTGTCCATTATTTTCTGTTCCTTGATAGTTATAAAGATATAGATGGTGATAATCGTTTTTTTCCGTCTCTTGGAAAGATGGTTCCTCGTCTTTGTTCAGTTGACTGGGACTGGGATATCGCTCGGAATATTCTTCTGTTTCTTCGGTTCCCTGATAAGGACTAGAAGTAGAAGCTCTGTCCACACAGTCATCTTCAACTTCTTGATTTGGACTTGGTGATCCCTCAACACTGAACGAAGAGGAACTTTCTTCTTCCATCTTTTTTTCCCCAGTTCAGTTATTTAAATAAATTAAATATAAAAAGTATTTTTACTTAATTGTTGTTAGTCCATTAAATAAATCTTCTGATGAGCATAAATTAACAAGTAATAAATAAATTCAAGTTCAGAATGAAATACCAAAAAGAATGCCGGCAACACATAAATTACTTGACTGACATAAAGTTGCTGACGGTAATTTAGTTGTTGATAAACAAACGAAAGACAGTAGTAGACGGAAAATACGGAATTAAATCATTAATTACATATATACTGGTAGTAAGATGAACTGAAGTGTTTTAAACTTTGGGTAATTATAGAAAAAGATGAAAAATAGGAAGCTAGGGAAATAAAAAATGATATTATTTGCTTAAATCCCACTTCTAATTCCGCTTTTTTTTTTAGCTTCCTACTACTACTTTGTTTTTACGTTTAACTTGTGGCGCCCTCTACTGGACGTGAAAGCATTCCGTATTGCTTACCTCCCTTTATTTTGACCACTTGTCCAGCATATAAAAATAGTAGAGAAAAGAACGTTAGGTGTACTTGAAATGGATTTATAAAGTTTTTTTATTTTTATTTTATTTATCTTAACGATATCAGGTGCATATCGTTAGACATTTTCTAATCATTTTTTATATTTCTATATAAAATTTGTTTTAAATAAATATAAAAATATAGGTTTTACTTTTATATGTTAGAATTTTCAGCCCCTCTACTTGCCACAATTGTGGGAAGTAGAGGGGCTGACAATTTTAATACTGTAAATGTAAAAAAGATGTTCAACACATAGAAAAAGGTTTGTTTGATTGCTTTTTTTACGGTTTATCAACCTTTTTCAGGTTATTTAAATATTTTTAGAGTATAAGAATTTTTTTTGAGATAATAATGATTTACTGATACAAGTTCTATTAATTAACCCATAACTGGGGGGGGAGAGGTGGAATCATACTTTTCCCAAGAGTATTTGCACGCAAGTGAATATAACAAACTGGAATTGAAACTCTAATTGAGCTGATTACACCACCCATTCATCAGCTGGTATTCTGAAGTGGTCACTCATCTAGGTACTGACCAGGCTTGACATTGCTTATCTTCAGTCATCACACAAGAACAAGTGTTTCAGCGGGATATTGCCGTAAACCTCACACAGAAAAGGAAAAGAAGAAAGCAAATAAATGCAAAATTTTTATATTCTAGAAACTGTTGTAGTGATTTACAATTTTTTTTGTCTGGTTTCTTTTGAAGACAGTTTTTTTATAATAAGGAATAGACTAAATACAGACAGATATCTTGATGACTTGCACTCAAACTGTTACATCTGTTTACTACTCATATTATCACATGGACTGCTTAGACTCAGACTACTTGATACTTAGTCCTTTTATTTATACATGTGGTTGTTATAGTGACACAAGATGCATGTAAATATTTATCAGAAGAATGTTTGGCTCAATTCTAAAATCTGTTACTTAAAGAGTATAAAAATTTTAATAACTTAATAACTATACATACTTATAATCTGAAACTTTGCAGATTAATAATTTAATATGTTTTAAATGCAGTGTAATTTTTGTCTTTATCTGTAAATTATAATTAAATTTTATTTTGTATCTACTCAGAAGGGATATTGTATCTTAATTATAATTTTCATTAAAAAGATGTTTTTATTTAAAAATTTTAATTTTGTCTGGAATTGATTAATTAATAGATGTTCTAATAATGTGTCTTATAATTTGATTCTGTTTAACCTGTTTTTCTTTTCTTTTACAAATACCAAATTTATACAGATTTTTAAAATTTTTCTTCACAAACAACTTATCTTCATCTCTCTTGTGATGTTGAAGAGAAATACGTTTTCATTTTGATATCAGTTTCATTAATCAATCTGCATAAAATCTGTAGAGCAGGGCCTCCCAACCTTTTTTGCATCATCAACCACTTGTGTAGTAAATATTCAAAAGCATACCAAAATTGTTTAGGAGAAGTTTGCTACTGGTTCATAAACTGACTTTATAATGTAGTGTTGTGTCCATAAAAAATAAATAAATAAAAACTAATTATAGCGTCATAACAATTATAATTACCATTAATTCATTCATTCTAAACCAATGAGAATTGACCCTACTTCTCCTCTACAAACACATGATATTCTCACTATTGGACAAGCAGTTCACACGGACAAGTCGTTAAAACATGTGTCAACGAAAATTTAATCTTCTTTCACTTTTTCTGGCTATAATAGTAACATTTATCTTTTAGCACTCAAAAAAAATTTGTGGTAAGAAAACACCAGACACTTCTTGTATTTTCCAACTAAATTATCTGGACACTCATTACACACATCTTTAAAAAAATGCATACGAGAAAGACCGTCTACACTTTGCTTATTCTTTATCTTCCCCTTTCTATTCGATTCCGATCTATATTTGATCTACATTTGATCCCAAACTCACAACTTTACTCACTATTACTGTCTCTCATGTCTACAACACCACGCAACAACCAGATAATAAATAATACTCATTTTGTTGTTTCTACGTTTTGCTGTTTCTCATTTTCTATATTTGTATATATAAATGTTAGGAGGGGGATTATAATTATTTACTCAAGTGTTATAATTCCCAAACAGTAGTAAAAAAAAAATACCAAAGGGAGGTAACAAATAACATTGATGGCTGCTGTTGCAACTATCGAATTAAAAAAACAAAGGAAAGCAAACTTGACCATTGAAAACTATATTTAGTTTTATAGTCAGGGTTAGTGTTGCAAGTGTTGACAAAAAATTGAATGATTTTTGTTCATAATTATAAAATATACAATAATAACAATTCAGTGAATAATTTTTTTGTTATTCTTGGTCTTCCAAGATTTATATCTGAATAAAAATGTTATTTTGTCTGAAGATCTATTTGAATGTTAATGACTATTCTCAGAACTATAGAAAATACCAAAATATTCATTGTTTGCAGAGATGTTTATATCTTATCTAGGAATGTGACCTACTTATTCCCATTTAGTCTCTTGTTTTTTTTTTTTTGTTTTTTTTTGTTTTTTTTATACAGGCTTCTTTGCATATCTCCTTTGAATATTATTTTTGGATAGCATATATTGAAATATCTTCTTAATACTTAAAATCCTATATCGTACACAAATTTTCAATTGCCCATCATTTTCTGTTTAGTTACTCATCACCCTATCAAACAGTTGAAATTGCTCAGGTTGGGAAACCCTGGATTAAAAACTTATCAGTCAACCCTTGTGAATCTTTAACTTCATTATGCTGAGAGTTTGTTCAAGACTCTTGGTGTTAATTTACTAATCATTCCAACTTAATTTTCCAAACTGTTTTGTTTTCCTCCACTCAGCTATCGCCAATGCTGTCCAGAATTGAGAAAATGGAAAATAGAACCGACTTTCAATTTTTGGAAGCTCACATTTTTCTGGAATTTTTTCCAAAAGAGACTTCCAAAGATTGGAATATTTGGCCCTGGATTAGAATCAAGAACCAAGAAAATAATGCAGCGTATTCTTTGCGACCCAAATGAAGGTTTTAAAACAACAGGCATCATTCCAGGAAGCTTTTCAGGTGACTATGACTTTCTCAGCACATTTTTTTTTATCAATTCTTTCTCAATATGTTTATATGCTTTTCTTATGGTTCCTATTTTTATCAGTTTTAAAAATGAATTCCTTTCTGCCTTTGATCAGCATGGATAATACTAACTTCCAAGAGAGTTACTTTTTGTACTTTCTCAGGCTAATGTTCTCTGCTGAAATAAAGTGGAAAGATTATAATTGAATCAAATGCCAGGTCTGCTGCTAGGAAAGTTGGTTCACTGTGTCATGCTAGACAATTTTTCTTGCCAGAATCTCTTACAAGACTTACATATTTATAAGTCTACCATTCTATCCATGCTTTCAGTATTGTTGTCACATATGGTCTGGTACTCCTGTTATATATTTAGATTTTCTTAGTAAAATAACAAAGAAGATTCTACAATGTTATTGGTCCTGACCTGGTATCTCAGCTTTAGTCACTTTCCCACTGCCATAACATAGCTTCCCTGTGCCTTTTCTATAAATACTCTCATGGTAATTGTTTTGGTGAACTTTCCTCTATGTTATCTAGACTTCATGAATTTAAGTACAGTAGTAGATTGGCAATAGTGCCATCATTTTACACTTGAAATGGCTAGATGTATTCATAAGTTCTATGCCAACAGTTACTTCTTTTGCACTTCTTGCTTGTTGTCTTTTACTGTTCTCGCTCCTTAATAATTTTTTTCTTATTCTTTCTCACTCAATGGCCCCCTGCATTAATTGGAAAGGGTACATTTATATATAAAAAAAAGAAGAAATATACCTTAAGTAGCAAACTACTTACAAAAACAAAAAAGCAAAAGGTACTTATTTACATTATTCACAGTCAGACTAATGTCCTCATTTTTGTTGTTAGGCTCACAATGTTTCAGCCCTTTTCAGATTTTGTCATTGTGATCATAACAGTAAAAAGGAGGAGACTAGTTCAATTTTTGTTTGAATTTTCTTGGGTGAGGAGTTATCATTATTTACACTATTTATATTTGGATTATTGTCCTCATGTTTGTTGTTATTATCACAATGTTTCGCCCATTGTGCTGTCTGGTTTTTCCTCAGGTGTATATTGGTCTGTCTAATGTACAGGGAATTCTAAACTGAACCCTTAATTTAATCTACAGGAGTAGACTGTTCTTGTTCTATTGCTCATGTCTAGGGATATTGTCTAGTTCTTATTTTATTTAGTAGTAAATAAAATAAGAACTAGACGATTTTATTTAGTGCTAAATATATCCCATAGGCAGAAGCAGTGAAACAAAAACAGTCTAACCCTTTAGATTAAATAAAGCGTTCAGTTCAGAATTTCCTGTAGGTTACACAGATCAATATACACCCGAGGAAGTCTGGATTGTCCAATAACTGAAACATTGTGATAACAACAACAAAGATGAGGAAAATAGTTTGAATATAAATAGTGTAAATACTAGTCCAACTGTGAGTAGTGTAAATAATAAACCATTCTAGAATTTCATTGGTTTTTGATAATGAATGAAATAACCAAATATACTTGAAAAAAAAAACAATAACAAAATATGAACTTAAGACCGTTTATGCATGACCTCAAGCACAATACTCAACACCTTATTTGAAGGTTGGAAAAATACAATGAAAAATTAAACAGACTTTGTTGGTTCTTTTTAATCTACTTGTTTGGAGATATATGTATGTGTGTGTGAAACATAAGTGTAATATACATTATGTAAATTAGTAATTTAGTGTGCTGCTACTTATGGCCTTGTTCTGAGCTAAGTACACTTAGTAAGTGACCAGGCTTCCAAGTCATATTTTGAGTTGTCTGTTTCATAAACTCTTATTTAATAGTAAAAGGTAAAATTCTTTGAGGTATTTCTGGTGATTTTGTTTAAACTCCAGATCCATGTTGAATTCTTTTCACTGCTGAAATAAATGTTCAAAGGAAAGAAGGAGACAGATATATTGGAAATAGATTTAGGAACTTTATTACAGAGTAACAATGGTCTGTTGAAGGGAAATGCCTTTCCAAGCAAAAGACATGTGTTTAGCGATTGAAAATTCAAGGGAAAAGAGAACAATTCTTTTCGTTTGTATCTGGCGCCAGGAAGCCCCTCTTTATTCACGCATCTGTTCTTTCTGTCAGAGAGCATGCTGGGAGATTCTTCTTTTTTTTTGTATTTCTTTTATCTTATTTTGTGTTTTTTTATTTTATTTTTTTTATTTTATCAATTATACAATCCCCACAACTCGTCCCTACCCAAAAGTAGTGCAGCTATGGTAAGGATGCATTAGAGGGAAAGTTAATTTCTTATGAGGTGTGTGTGTGCATCTAAGTGCTTGTTATTCATTTTTTTTTTTTGTATCTATGTGTATATGCATTTCTTTGTGTAGTAAAAATGGTCATTATTTCTTGTAAAATGGACCTATCTACCTGATTATGTAACGATTGGTTCCTGTGGTGTGTTTTGCTGTGTATCAGGTGTTGTCTATCAATTATACAATCCCCACAACACACAGTCTGCCAAAAAACTCATGAACACTCCAGGAAAGGAAAAACTTGTATGGATATTGTAATACTAAATTTATTTGGTCATCCTGAGATTAACACAAGTTACCTTTGGACTCGACAATGACAAGAGATGCTTAAAATGGTGGCCTTTAGCTTCAAGACATTTATTATTGTGGCAAACTATTGCTTGGGCAACATTGACCAAAGTGTCCAATGTGATTGTTGCACATGCATTTTCAGTTTCTTGTCTAAGGGCCGCCAATGTAGTCAGTCTTCTGCAATACACAACATCTTTTAGGATCTCCCATAAGTAACAATCTGCAAGTGTTAAATCAGAATAATTTTGGGGGAACCTCTGCACCTCTTTAAAATAATCTTACATTCTTCAAATGACAAACATACATCCACCATATTGTAGATGTCATTTGTTGATGCTGCAGCCACAAGGGTAATGCCATCTGTTGAGAAAATATTGTACTACAGTAAATAGTTTTTATTGCAATTTGATAAAACTATGAAAGACAAGAATCGGAGAGCTGAGTTTGAATTCCAATCGGGATTTTCGCATTCATTTATATGCAAATACACTTGGAAAAAGCATGAATTCATCTCTTCTCCCTCTGGCTATGTGTAAATAGCAGGATAGATTGGTGCCTATAACCTTGGGTGGTAAAGGAGAAGGACAACTCTGAATTCAAAACCTCCCATCTGCAATTGACCAAACGTGGTGAGTATGGCTACATCCCTGAAGACATGGTCAGTCAGAGAGTGTTTTTTTTTTTTTTTTTGGTATCACCCTATGCAAGGCAGTAAAGCCACTAAGATATAAGGGTTTACAGGGTGTGGAAGAATTAGGAACAGAAACATTAATAATCAGTGGGAAGAGGAAAGTGTAACCAAAAAGACAGTAGATATTGATTGATGTTGCATTTAAATTTTTGGAGATTAAAGTTGGCTGGAAAGCATGGACCTGGAAGGGAGATCTACAAGTGAGAGGTGCAAGAAAATAAACTGTTAGAATAGAATTTACAGTTACATCTAGTCAGCTCAGCTGTAAATTGATGAAATAATTACTCTACTGTGAAGGCACATCAGAGTAATGGATAGTGGAAATGGAAATATAAAGGTTGACCATCGCTCGTCCAGTATCATTGGAACCTGCTGAGTAACATAAGTAATTTTGCCAGATTACTGATGTTTACCAGGGAATACGCTTAACCCAACAGCTAACCACTTCATCCTACCCTGTAAATCAGTATATATTCGTTAATAAAAGAAAAAGAAATATTGATTGAAACACAAGTAAAATAAAGGTAATTCTATTGAAACTTTATCACTACTCCTTCCAAAGTGAAGCATTAAAAACAAATGATTTTAGCAACTTTTCTGTTTCTTTATAAACTGTAGATGAGACAATATTGTATCAATGAAACAAGCTCCACATTGCTGATAGTTCTTTTTCAGATGTTTTACCATTACCTTTTATGGATAGTGTATGATGTTTTTGCTTCACACCACAAAGAAGTACTTAGAGCTCAATATCAGTAGGTTATAATAAAAATGCAAAAAAGTAGAAATGCTTTGAATGAATGATGATTGACTGAAGTCTACTGAGGGGTTAAAGTTGAAAACAAAATGTTTCTCATACAAAATATTCATGATTTAAAAAAATGTATTGTGTAAAGACAAATTCAAATTTTAACTTTTTGGTAGTAAGAGGGTCCTGGGGAAAGACTGAAAAATAAAAGCAAATACACTAAATATATTGTTATATCTCTCACACACACACAAGCATATATATATATATATATATATATATATAAAAAATATTTTTTTTTGTCTAAAAAATAAAACTGGCATTCTATTTTAACACATTCAGTTTACTGCTACCATCAATTTAAAGTTGTTCAAGTTTTTTTTTTTTTTTTTTTAAAAAAAAAAAAAAAACAATTGTTCACCCACTTCAAAGCCCAAGAGTCATTCAAAGTAGAGGTTTTGTCTTGACTTGCTTCCAGAAGGGACAATTTAAACACTTTCTCTTGTCTATTTTGGTTTTTGCCATTTCAGGATTTGATTTGTCTCACTTCAGCTTCCAACTTTTTGATATGCTTCAAGTTTCATTTTTAAGAGGCAGCTCATTTCTCTTATGTTCAATTGATAGAGCAGATTAAAAATAATTTTCTTGCTTGTTTTTAGGTGTTGGTTCTTTTTTTACAATGAGTGTTCATGACAAAGCCTTCAATCTGACTGTGATGTATTCTGGTACAAAGAAAGAGCGTGAAAATACAGCCAACCAAGGTATTCATAGGTTAAGCCGGTTTGAGCAGATGCAGCAGTTAAAAGAATTGTGCCGTACATTGGATGGATTCGTCTTTGTGGTTGATGCTTCTGATCCTGGATCCAGTAAGTCTTTCATAAGTGAACCTCTATATTTTTTTTAATCATTTCACTCCAAACAAGGCAATAAAGCCACTAAGATGCAAGGGGTTACTGAGTGTGAAAGAATAAGAAAAAGAAAAACAGTATTAAAGAGATAGAACAGTAAAAGAAAGGGAATTAAGAAGACAAAAGATAATGATTGACTTTGCATTTAAATTTTTGAAGATCAAAGTTGACGGAAAACAAGAAACCGGAAGAGAGTTCCACAAGCAAGAAATGTGAGAGAAGAAACTGTTAGCATAGAACTTACTTTACATCTTGCCATTTTAACTAAATAAAATGATGAGACCAAGCAACCAATCTAGTATTGTACTTAAATTCATAAAGTTTATGTACCAAAGAGGAAAGTTCATGAGATCAATTACCATGAAAATATTTATAGAAAAATCACAGGGAAGCTACATTATGGCAATGTGAAAGTGACTGAAGTCAAGATGTCAGGTCAGGACTTATAACATTGAATTCTTTGAATTTTATCAAGGATCTCTAAATATATAGCACATGTAAGCTTGCATCACGTCCTGGTATTCCTAAGTGGTTGATCATCTAGGTGCATGGCTTACCATAATCTGCATATAAATATTCAGTGTTAGTATATTTACTGATGCAATGTATTTTTTTTAGTTGGTATATACTTTTATTTCATTATCCTTGACTGAGTTTTGATTAATAAGGAATGAAACCAGTTAACTCACAATTTTTTTTCTGTATTAAATGTCAGTTCTCATTTTTTCATTTGGTTTTTAAATATTGTCATTGTTAAATTTTGTACTACTGACAAAATCTTTAATTTCAGTCTTATATAAATGAAGAACTTTTCAGTACAATCTTGTTGATGTCTTCAAAGAAAAGCAATACCTAAGGTTTAAAATGCATTTTTTAAAAAATGAAAAATCTTTTTTGAAGTTTTTATTTTATCTTTAGTTTCAAGCTAATAGATTAAATTTGATATTTCCAACAAGCAAAATACTGTGTTGTATTCAAATGAAGGCGTTTTTTTTTTTTATTATCAGTAAAAAATCTAAAATCCTCCATATTGACAAATCTCTCAACACAACATAATTCTATTTATTAAAAATCATTCAGAAATAAAATATACTTTTCTGAAACTTTATTTGTGGAAGATTAACTGATTTGAAACAAATATTACTTTTAGTTTAAAATATCACAGAAAAGCATTTTTTAATATGGAGGTGGGTGTTTTTATGAGGTGTTGACAATTTTCTTGCTAGATTTTTGTTTTGGAATTTTTTCTAAAAGGGACATAACTAACAATTGCTTTATGAATATGTGTGCACCTTTTTTATATAATTTTTTTTTCACTACCCAATAATCTTAAAAATTTAAGAGAATATTCTGAGCAATCTAATATTTTATTGAACTTTAGGTACTTTAGTCTAGCCCATGAAGCCACTTGTTGTTAGAAAATTACAAATTTTAACTTTACTATAGTTACTGCTCTTATTTTCTGATAATGTTGCATTTGGACTTCAGTATTTAAAAACATCAAACATAAATTCACATAAATTTATACACATAAATTCCAAATTATTTTTAAAATACTGGGGGTTGTTGAATTGTAGTAAGCTTTTCCATTTATGATTAGTGAATATAGTTTTTACTTAATAACAATAATATAATCTGTTACAATTTAATACAGAATTTTAATGGATTTAAAAGTTTATAAGTTATTCCAATTCAAGTTTTTAAAAAATGAAAACAACTTTTGTAAAAATTCAGTATTCATTGAAAAAACATTTTTTTCTTAAGATAAGTGTTCATAATATATTTTACATGTAAAAGGAATTAAAAGCTTTTCTAATTAAATAATGCCTTAGTTTTATTGCATTTTTTATTTTACAATTCAGGGCAGATTTTCTGGGGTTCCTGTTTGACCAAAAAAATTTAATGTTTTAAATTCTCTGAGGACTTGTGCTTATCACTAATATAAACATCAAGTGCTACAAGAAATTTCAAAAAATTAAATAAGTGATAATACTATTTTTTCATTCTTTTGTGAATAGGTCCTGAAAGTTACATTAAATCCAATAATTTTCTGATTTTTGCCAGAATTTCCAAATCAGTGTGTTGCACTATAAAAAGACACTAAAATTTCCTATACTAATTTATGGTCACCAATTGACACAAGAAAAACAAAACTTTTAACTAGAATTTCAAAGTTTATAAAAATGACCAAAAAATATAATTTAATAATAAAAAATTCTTTAGTCTTTCCTCTTAATAATAACAAATATTTTAATGATAAAATTATTTTTTAAAGTTTGGACCAGTGTTTTCATCATGCATACTCATTTTTTTAGCAAAATTTAAAAGGTACGCTCTCTCTCTCTCTGTCTCACACACACACATACACATCTCAAAAGGATAATTTAAACTATAATCATCTTTTTTATCTCTTTTTTTTTTTTTTTTTTTTTTTTTTTTTTTTACAGTGAGTTGGGCTGAGAAGGAATTACTAAATGTGACCAATGAAAGGTGGTCAGCAACACATACACCTGTCCTTGTTCTTTCCTGTGTTCCTGGAATGGTCAATGGGCAGTGTCCTTTGCCAACTCTCTCATGCATTGATATAGTAAAGTCTCTGAAATTGTCAAGTCTAACAAAACCATGGCAGGTGAGTTTTGTTTTTTTTTAATTTTTTCTGATTTGTTTACATTTTTTTTATTATATAAATTATTTTCATTTAAAAAAAAAGATGAAGAAATATTAAGAAATGACTACTCTGCTTTTTTTCTCGTTTCAATTAAAGTAAAAATAAAAAGTGACATTAAGCCAAATTTGCTTTAGTTTCCTTAAAAGGAAAGTAACTAAATTGTTTGAAATTCTATTCTAAGGCAGTTTTTGATCTCTCTCTCTCTCTCGTGTTATTTTTATTTAGAGTTCTTGAAGAGAATATTAAAGAATGGAAATTAACTGGATATTTAATTATTGTGTGTTTCTTCTCTTAATTTCTATTATAAAACTTATTTTCAAAATTTTGGGGAGAAAAGTGCTAAGTAGACATACACAGTAATAAATTTTAAGTTGTTAATTTATCTATCACACTTTTCTGTTTGATATGATTTTATTATAATTCTATATATTAATGCACTATGAAAATAAAGGTTGTTATTAAGAATGAAGAAGGAAACAAATGTTGCTGACATATCAAATACCTTTTGTAAGCAGTTGTTATCGACATCTACCTACTCTGTATTTTATTATCTATTGTGCTGAGTGGATTTGCAATTTTGGTGTTTCAAGTGAGAGCTTTTTTATGCTGAGTAAAAATTTTGGAAAATGTACTTGTGTTTAATGTCCCCCGCCCAACCTTTAATTTTCATTCAAAAATTTCTCATATTTAAAAAAATTTTCTCATATTTAAAAAAAAAAAAAATTCTCATATTTAAAAAATATACTGTTTAAATAACAGAGGCATCTACTCGAACATGCATATCCACTAAATATATATGTATAATGTATATAGTAAGTAGAAATACAGATGTCTGTGTGTGTGTGTAAAAATTAGATATAAATAAAATATAAAAAGTGTAAAAGACAATATGAATAAAGATTGAAGAAAAACTTTTCTTTACCAACATATTACATCACTTAGCATCCTCCATAGTTTACCTTGACTTTCATAGCCTTAATATTTTTTAGCATTCTGAGATTGAAAAATTTTGAAAAACCTAATATTTTTACTTCTACAAGAAATAGGGTATATATGTATGTATGTATGTATGTATGTATGTATGTGTATATATAATTTTTTTTTTTTTTTTTTATCAGGTGAGACAGTGTTTTGTCCATGAGTTATCAGGTGCCTATGAGGGCATGAAATGGGTCCTTGGACTTTGTGAACTCTAGTAAAACTGATTTGGCACAACAAGCAAATTGGAAAGCTCTGTGATAATGCAAATTCCCACCTTTGGCAGGATCATATTTTCAGTTGGTTAAATGCGATATCATTAATATTTGGGATATTGTTGTTTTGACCATTATTCTCATCTTAAACCCTTTTTTTTTTTTTTTTTTTAGAAAAAAAAAAAAAAAAAAATCCCTTTCTACCAAATATTCTTTGTCCTTTGGGAAATTATATTTAACCAAATAATTTATCGTAATCTCTTTATCCATATGGATGGATCAAGAGAAAATAGTTTTAGGCTTGAAGCAGCTATGTCTGGATCTGACCTTTCAGATATGTGTATTTCTACAAGTATAAATAGTGTATGAAGTATAGAGGTCTTTAAGGGATGCTCTATAAATAATACCTCCTATTTATTTCCATGAAAATTATGACAGTAGAATAACACCCTATTTTCCCTGTTGATTATGCATTTTTGCTCTGAAAGTAATACCTCTCTGTATTTTCCTTGGAACTACAATAACAATAGCACCATTGGATAGAGCAAGTTTTCAGCTACAAAACACTATTTTTTCATATTATCTCCACTATTGGCTACACGTTTTCATTCTGAAAGTAATGGCCTTCTGTATTTCTACAGGAACTACAACAGATACTGGGAGCAAACATAGTCACCACTGTTGGCTATTTTCCCTCTGAAAGTAATGCCTCCATGTATTTCCATGGGAACTGCAACAAATACAGGGAGCAAAATAGCACTGTTGGATAGAGCAAGTTTTCAGCTATAAAACACTATTTTTCCACCACCACCACCATTGGCTATGCATTTTCACCAGTGATGGATAAGAACCTGCATGCTGTGCTCATAAAAATGACTTGTCCTATATATCACTGTCACCATTGCTAAAATGCATGACCCACTACTTAACTGTGCTCACATCTGCTGATTGGTCTCCATAAATGTTCAGAAAACATCAATGGATAGCAGTGGGTGCATTTAATGACACACCTTTATTTCATATGTACTTTCATGTCTGATGACATTTGGTTTGTTTGCTACCTGTGATGAGAAGAAAAAATTATGGGTTATTGATGGGTAGGTTCAACCGCTACTGCCGTACCGATAACATTTACCCCTGATGTCACAGGCCAACAAATTAAAATAGGATACATTACTTTAGGAGTAATCCTTATATATGCATGCATGTAAGTTTGTGTATGCAAGTAAATTAATTTGTATGTGTATATAATTTTGTCTGTAGGCATGTAGGTTTGTGTGTATATGCATGTATACACAGGTCTGAGTGTGTATGTAGGTATGTGTGTATGAATGTGAATATATTTAATCCAAAAATCAGTCGACCAGGAAAGATAACATTTTTAAGGCAAACCGTCTTTGTAATTAAAGTGCTAGCTATTAATAGATATTACATTAATAGTAAGATATATATATATATTCATATTTATTAAAATAATATGGAAGAACAATGAGATTTATAATTCACAGTTAATTAAATCAATTTCTAATAAGTTTTTTTTTTTTTTTTTTTTTGCAAAAATTTCCATAACTACAAAATGGCTAAACTTAAAATTATAAAATAACTATTAACACAGCATGTTTGTATGTGTCTTTAAATATCACCATCACAATGCAGATTTTATTGCAGTTACAATAAGTTTATCTTTGTAAGTTACCCCTGAAGATGATACATGTTTGAATGAAAATATGCTGCCTAAATTTTATATATAATGGAAGTATTTTTATGAATGTATGTATGTATGTATGTATGTGTGTATGAAATGTGTGTGTATATATATATATATATATATATATATATATATATATATATATATGATATATTTGAGTAGTGTGTGTGTATATATAATAGTGTATATGTGAGTGTTTGTATATATATAATAGTGTGTGTGTGTGTACATATATATAATAGTGTATATGTGTATATATATATATATAAAATAGTGGGCGTATATATATATATATATATATATATATATATAAAAATAGTGCACAGTGAGTGCTGGTGTTAATAAAACAGTACTCAATGTAAAGTAACAGAACTAAAACTTTTACTAATAATAGGTATATTTTTGTTCTCAGTTTTCAATTTGTACCTGACAATTGGCATGTACATGAAACTCAAGGTTGCACCAAATGGTGAGGAACAAGTGTATATATATATATATATATATATATATATATATATATATAAACAATGATAAATAATAAATATATAAAAAAAAAAAGAAAAAAAAAAAGGTGAATCTGGATAATCCTGGAAAATAACATTTTTAAATAATTTGTGTTTATGAGAAATGGTATCAAAAAGTTTCCAGACTAGTATATCTTTTTAAAAAACTAATATATTTACCTAAGTTTTAGGATCATCTCCTTTGAAATAGTCACCTTGCAGAGCGTTCCTGCCACTTTTGGAATCCAGCCTGGAAGTCATTTTCTGCAAGCCAGTCAAGGACCTTCTGCAATTTGCTCTTGATCTTGGCAACCATTGAGCTATATTTTCAGCTTGGAAAAGAGATGGAAAGTCACAAATGTTAAATCTGGCAAATAGGATGAGTGTGGGATTGATACAATGTTGTTTTTGTGTAGAAACTCATGAATGAGGAGAGCTCGATGACAGGGTGACTTGTGAAGAATCTAATTCTTTGTGCTCCACAGATCTGGTCGCTTTCGCCAAACATGCTCCCTCTAATGCCTCGAATTGTTGCACTCTTGATTAACGGTCTGGCCCTGGGGGATGAATTCTCAATGCACAATACTGTGGGTGTCAAAAAAAAGATGACTATGCTCTTGCATGACAAAACCGCAGGCTACAGCATACGCATGATCACAAAAACACAAATTTCACAACTTGTGAAGTGAACACAGCGATGTTACTCAGCACACTGGTGCATGAAGGTCACTGATAGCTCTCACTGTGCATGCAACCATGTGTTGACTTTTGTTGGTGTGCTACAGAACTGGTCCAAAAACTTTTTGATACCAACTCATATAAAAATACTAGAGTTTTAATACAAAAAAAAAAAAATTATGTTTAATCTTGTATTTATTAAATTGTTTATTCATTTTAAAATATGTGAACAAATATATTTAGCATTTTATATATATATATATATATATATATATATATTATGTGTGTGTGCATGTCTGTGCACGTGTGTGTGTGTGCATTTATATATTTTACCTAGTCTGTCTCTGAATGTGTGCACATCCACATGTGTGGTATAATTCATTTAAAAGTCCATTTTCTTTTGCAGGATGGAATTGTTCATTTATTCTTGTTACTGACATTGTAAACTCTTAATCAAAATCATCAATAACTTTAAATATTAAGATGCCAGCATGTGTCACCCTAACACAAAAATCTATTAATATATCTAATAATTCATTTAAAAAACAAAAAAAGTTTACTTTTGGAATGCGAAAATAATGTTAGCAGATATAATTATCAAAAGATTTTAATGAGAAAATGTGCTTTCCTTCATAAAGATAATTCAACCTTGCTCTGCCATGAAGGTCTTCATGGTTGAGACAGATTAATGGGAGGGAGATGCAGATTTGAACTCCATCAAAGGGTGTATTTTTCTATTATAGACTATTGAAAAACCCAGGTTAGTAGATTAAAATATACTGTTTAAATAACAGAGGCATCTACTCGAACATGCATATCCACTAAATATATATGTATAATGTATATAGTAAGTAGAAATACAGATGTCTGTATGTGTGTAAAAATTAGATATAAATAAAATATAAAAAGTTTAAAAGACAATATGAATAAAGATTGAAGAAAAACTTTTCTTTACCAACATATTACATCACTTAGCATCCTCCATAGTTTACCTTGACTTTCATAGCCTTAATATTTTTTAGCATTCTTAGATTGAAAAATTTTGAAAAACCTAATATTTTTACTTCTGATTATAGCTACATGTTGCAAAATAAAATCCTTACATTTACCTTGTTAAAGTCCATGAAAGGATGAAGAGCATTGGTAAAAAAATGCTTTCCTTGTTTTTATATATATATAATAAAATGTGTGTGTGTGTAAGATAGGTTAGTTAATAAAACAAGGACAAATGAGAGAGTACCAATATAATGAGTCTGAAAACATTTATTAAATATTAACCATATGACAGAAATGAAACAGAAAAAAAAGGTTTTTATGTCCAGAATTTTCAGACACACCTTTGTCCTTCATCAACAGAGCGAGAAATAAACAGAGAAATCTGAATTACTCACCAACAGTAGACGGGGTATTTTAAACGCATCTGTTCACATAAGGAAGATTACAACTTACACATAGCAATCATTTTCTTAATAAGAATTGCCTACTCAAAATAATCAAAGAATCCATCACCAAAGCTACCAAACTTAACAGAAACACTCTCCTCAACTATGTGACTAAAAAGAAGAACTCCAGAATCTCCATGGTCTTTTATTTGAATTATAACATCCACAAACTTTCCAACACATTAAATAAAGAGTTCCAACATTTAAAATTAGGCAATACTATTAGTAATTTATTTAGTGATAACCCCTACATGTGAGGTGACCTCTTCAGATTTTTAACATCATCAAAAATCTGTAACACATCACTTCACCAAGGGAATGTCATCTGTAACAAACCTCAGTGCCTGGTCTGCAAACACATCATCACTCACAACATTTACACATCTCTCGGTATTAACATAGTATTCAGATCACCTGCTCTAAGCTGTGACAGTTCCAATCTTGTATATTTACTTTTATGTCACAAAAGTGAGAAGGGGAATTATGTGGGAGAAACTGGAATAGTTCTGTTTATGGTTCAATAGCCACAAGAAAAGCATCAGGGACAACAACAACAATTTCCTCGTCTCTGTACACTTCAACCAACCTGGTCATAGCATTGACGATGTTGGGTGCATGCTTTTAGCGTCTGTGTTTGGTAACCAGGAGGATAGACGCAGATTGGAATTAAAG